GCCCAACGAAGTCATCTCGTGGAGTCATCTCGTGGCCCAACGAAGTACTGATGGGGTGGTCATAATAATCTGGCAACTCAGTGTATATTGTGAACGCTAGAGTCTAGAGATTCAGCTAGAGCAGGGGTCCCTAAATGGCGGACCACAGTCTAGAACACAGATCAAGTGGTGGTTCTGTCCGGACAGCTATCACCGACCTGCACTGGGTCATGGCTGTCTGAAAGTGGCTACACAAAGGGACCATGGGGAACAAAAGTAGCCACCCTCCAGAAGGAAGGACAGTGTCAGCACCAATTCAGAGATTATTGGAGGATCTACAGCCGAGTGACACACAAATAAGATACATTTTTATTAATAGTGAAGGTACATGAATGTATTTTTAAGAAGAGCTGAGGGTCACTTTAAAACAGAACTCTGAGCACTTAAAATCTTAACCCTTGCAGTGAGCTACCCCCTCACTGCAAGGCTTAAGTGCTCATTTTGCCTAGGGAGCTAAAATAACAATGTTATACTCACCTGAACCGTAGCACAATCCCGGCTGGTTCCTAGACTGCTCCCTGCAGCCTGTCTTCTCCTACACTGCAGCAATGGAATGTCTCTCAGCATCCTCACGTTCTATACACTGAGGGGAATTTATCAAAACTGGAGCAGACACAATTTGGAGCTGCTGTGCATGGTAACCAATCAGCATTCACCTTTCATTTTCAACGCTTAACTGAACAAACTGAAAAGAGACGCTGATTGGTTGCCATAGGCAACTGCTCCAGATTTTGTCTGCTCCAGTTTTGATAAATCCCAGCCAGTGTATAGAAAGTGATGACTTACAGGACCATAGACCGCTAGAGTGGAGGAGGAGAGAGGCTGAAGGGTCCGGTCTGAGAGCAAGCTGGGTATGTGGTTCAGGCGAGTATAACAAATAACTAATTTTGCAGAAATAACAAATCATTCTAACATAACGAATATGACAAAAATAATTAATTTGCTTGACGAATAGAAACAAAACACATTTTTTGCCGGCGTAGGTATTAGTACGGGGTAGCCCCTCTGCAAGGGGTGAGATGTTATTTGCCTGTGTTCTATTTTAAAGTAGAAGGAAAGGCTAAAATAACCTACATTTAAAACGTTGCCTCTCTGACTGCTATACAGGCAGGCCCAGATTCCCCACAAGGCCACCGAGGCCCGGTCTCGGGGCGGCGGGGCGCAGAGGGGCGGCAGCGGTGTCCTTGTGGGGAAGTTGCCCTCTCTACATTCAGTCCTCCTTTGTACAAGCAGGACTAAATGTAGAGTGAGGCAGCCGATTTTTCGTTTACATGTGAACTCAGCGATGTCGCTGAGATCACATGTAAACAGTGTGCAGCCGGTCCGTCCGTCCATCCTCCCCTCCCCCTGCACTTACCTTTCTCCTTTGGTTCCGTCCTCCGCCGCCGAGTCCCGAGTCTCTCACTGCAGTGATCAGAGCGGCAGGGTTATAAGTAACCCTGCCGCTCCGTGTAGACTGTATACAGTGAGAGGGGAGAGCTGTGCCGTGCTGCGCTGTGCCGTGCTGTGCTGTGCCGTGCTCTTCCTCTCTCACCTGTCACAGGAGTTCCAGCACAGTGCTGTGCTAGAACTCCTGTATTGGAGGTGACCGGGTCAATAAAGAGAACCTGTCACCTCCAATTGCTATCACACAGGTGATTGTTTTTTCCTGTGTGATAGCAATAAAGTTAGGTGAAAAAAAATTAAATTGATTTAAAAGGAGAACTATGACATGAGTGATTTCCACTCACCTCATAGTTCTAAGCCGACCTGTGACAATGTGACTGTCACAGGTCGGCTCAGTAGATCGGGAGGTGAGGGAACACATACCGGGTTCCCTCACCTCTCGATCCTGTCACGGCTTTCTGCTCTCTAGATAAGCAGAGCCAGCTGTCACTCACGCAGCTGGGCGGATCCCGTCATCTAAGTCGGGATCCGCTCCAGGTGCGGCTGTAGCTCACGGTATACTGAGCTTAGGGTAACAGGAAGCCGCTAGTTTGTGTCCTCCCGTTACCCCAAGGAGAACTATGGGGAAAAACACTGACCCCATAGTTCTCCTTTAAAAAAAATTAAATAAATAACAATTAAAAAAAATAATATGAAATAATTAAATAAAAGGGTGATTAAAAAGTAAAAAATAATAAGAAACAAATTATTAAAAAATAATTGGGGCGGCAGGGAG